CGCGCGCGCCGCTGTCCCGCCGTCCTGAGCCGTTGGGCGCAGGGACAAGGACCTCGCCCCCAAGGACCTCCGGAGAGGCGGGATCTCTCCGGGAAGGGGAAGCAGGATTTTGTTGTGCGGTTTGAAGATGAGACCGGTATCTGGAGTGGCGCTTCTCCTGGGGCTGATGGCTCTCCCAGCGGCGCTGGGACAGAGAAGCTCGGAAAGCCATAAAAATAGCAACGAAAGCTTTGCCATCGTCTCTTTCAAATGGGATCACGTCAAAGAGCCGTATATCATTGCACTCTGGATACTTGTGGCCAGCTTGGCCAAAATAGGTGAGTCTGGAGTTACATATTAATACATGTCCTCTGCCTTTCCCTCCCCCCTTGCCCTTCTCCCACCCAACGTAAATGAAGAAAGCTTATCATAGGTCCGCTGACCCGTTTTCAGGGGGTTTACTGTAGTCTGTCCTGATTTCATAATACTGCCCTACGCGGTGATTAGCAGTGTGATTTTCACCAGCCTCGAAGGGTTACCTGGTTCATTTTCACCGACCAAGACTGTGGCTTCTGCATCTGACTCCTTGAAAACCCTTTCAATTCCTTGAGACCTTGCATTACCCTTGCTCCCAGGAAAAATTTTTTTGCAAAAGTGAAACAAAAATCGGGCCTTACTGCTTACACTATATCTATCGCACTTTATGATATGCTCTTCTCCTGCCTATGGTTGTTAACTAAATCAGCTCGTAATATCAAAACTAACCAGTGCAAACTGCACATATGAACTTAGAGTTTTCTGCTTTGAAGTGCATTGCTGGATTAGTGAAAGAGCATCGTTTATAGAGAAAGGCAACGCATATTATCAGACCATCTGATGTAGCTGAAAAAAATACAAGCTTTAGACCACCCAGAATTTTCTTCAAGAAATTGGAACAAGTGAAAAGCCAGGAGTTAGCCTAACTTCGGTGTAGTTTAAATGAATTTATATGAATGCTCCAACTCTTGTGTTCTGAACTTTGTGACTTTTTCCAAAAGCGATCTTGTACCAATAATGCAGTTTGCAGAACGAGAAAAGTCACTGTTTAATTAGAATGCATTTTACTTGATTAATGCTATTACTTTCAGACCTTTTGCCTAAAAACACACCTCCAGTTTGGCTGACACTGTAAATGCCATTTTAATTTAAAATAAATATTTTCTATAATCAGTCTCCTCTCACTAGGTCAGCTGAAAATCCTACTGAAGACTTTTCTGGACTTGTACTGTTAATACTAATTTGGTATACCATAATCACATCCCATAGATTTTTCATGCCGCAGAGAATGAAAGATGTAAAAAGATATACTTGGGTATGTTCTGTCTAGCACATAAGAGAAGCATAGTAAGACCTGGATGGAAAATGCTGTCTCCAAACTCCAAAAAAGTATTTTAAAAAGGAGTATGTTAGAGGTTGGGGTGATATTGTACATAATTTTCCAGCAGTATTTGCATCTTAGCTTTTACTTGATTAACCATATATATATATAACTATATATAACTAAATACCTTTCTTTGAACCTGTTTGACTACGCTATGCAAATAGTTTGTCTTCAGAGAGTTGCTACATCACAGTTTACATAACAGAAAATTATGTTTTAATTTACTTTTATTGATGAGTTATAGCAATTAGAAAGCTGAGGAAACCATATACAGAAAATAACTGACAACATTGAGTACCTATAAAATTGTACTGAACAAAATAATAAACAGGCTGCTTGTTTGAACCTTCTTTTTGAGATAGTCTTCTGGGTAAGTACAGTTATTAAGGCCTTGTGCTATTTAGGCTTTGCTGTTCTGTACATGTGGCCCAGTTGTACAGTGTAATTAATATTAGTGGTTCACAACCATATCAGTTTGTGTCTAAAGCCACTGAACCCAAGAACAGGACAGTTAGATTGTACTATATTTAAATTGCAATTGCCTGGATTGAGATTAGTTGAGATTAATATGAGCCATTTTACCATGAAGTCCTTGATATAAACTCTCGATAAAGCGCTTACTGTCAGGAGCCGAGTGGTGCTGATTCTGTTTTTAAATTCTTTGTACTTCTTTCATAGCTGCACAGAGCATGTCACTTATTAGTAGATCATACCTATCATCGACTCCATCACTTCCCCAGAGCTCTCAAGCTTTGTATGTTTCTCTCTTCACATTTGTATTTTTGATTCTATACTTCTCTGGACATAATTTCTGGAGAAGCAGTGGATAACTGCTGTACTCCTCTAAGAGCCTGTGAATGTCTCTGCTTTTCCCATCAGTTACAAATAACACAGAGAAAAGCAAGAATGTACACTCACTGTTCAACACCTTCTTAATGAAGAAATCGTGAAGGTGTTCATATAAGTCTGTGAGAAAGGGAACTGAAAAAAATAGCTTTTCAGCCTTCTGTCTGCCTTTGTGTGTCGAGTTCTGGAAAGTGGGTCAGAAATCTATGAGAAAATTTTGAATTGCAAAAGTCCTGTGCTGCATCAAAGAAAGTTTGCATATTCAAAAAGCAGACAGAAAAGAACCGAGAAAGAAAATACAGAGCATCTATCCTTGGGTTTCTTTGCTACCTGAAGCAGGTCAGTTGTAGTGGAGTGAAACTGCTGGTTTTGCTGTGGGTTTTTCAGCAGGGAAGGAGCTGTTCTTACACATGCAAGCTCTCTTCTCCATGGCTACAGGGATTGGGAGTTATTTTACTGATGGATGATAGACAATTGGGTCAGCAGAAAGTGTTCTAGGAATTGCAGTTGGTACTTGGGGATAAAGGTGTATGACAATACTTCGCTTTCTCTTGAATTGGGATAGCATTACTGGTTTAGTGCTTATTTGGATTTTTGTTGCTTTCGGGTTTTTTTAGATTTGTTTTGTTTTATTTGTGTGGAATTTCAGGGTTTTAGTAAAAAACCAAGTTTCAGTTCATGATATTATATGACTGGGGGAAGCATTTTGTATTAGGAGATTTTTGCAGATTTTCTGGGGCTTGATGTTCATATTGTGTACAAAGTATTCTGCAACATAAACTACTGTATGTTAACTCTCATAAGTATCCCAATACACAAGGAAGTGACTAGTGTTTTGGGCTTTTGGAGAAGGAAACTGCTTTTTTAGTTTTAGTTTGGTCTAGTTACTGATTAACTCTAAATATTGCTACAAATGAAACAGTGGAAAAGAATCTTCATACAATTGGCTTTCATGCATTATAGAAAATCAAAAAATATGTGCCTTCCATGAAACTTCTGATGCATCCTGGTCTACTGCTTAACATATTCTAATTTATTTAGTTTGACCCTCTTCATCTGAGATATTCCAACTTTTCATTCTTCCACTTCACATGAAACATTCTTAAGGTTCACAATGTTCTGCTTTGGCTAATGATCTTTATTTCTTCTTTTGGTAGGCTCTCTTATCACTACAGAGGAGTATCTTTGTGGGATAGGGCCAATAAACTACTTACATTTGTAAATCTAAGCCAGAAAATCATCTTATCTACATGAAGAAGTACATGAGGTACAGCTGAGGACCCTCCTAGTGGATTTCAGGAGTCCACGTCCTGGTTATCTCAGTGCTCCAGAAGAAATAAGCAATACCACTGAAAAAGAATAACCTCTAAATGCACACGTGTGCATTTATAGCTACAGACAGTACAAATATTTCCTGCTGTAGGTAAAGGATGTACCATTTTTAAACAACATGCTCACACAGTATAGTTCTAGTTTAAGATGAAAGACACTTGTATGCTGACCAGACTCACATTCTTTCCAAGCTCACTTGGCCATATGCTCTTTTTCTTCTTATATGTCTGTCATTGATAACATCTTGGAAATAAACTTTGAATAAATAGATGCATAGAAGACACAAAATATTTCAGCAGGAAAGTCTCCACAGAAAGAGGTAAGAACAGGTGGAAGATCAGAAAACTTTGGAAGTAGAAGAAGGGAAGGAATAATGAGCTCAGAAGCTAAAAATGGCTGAGAAGAATTTTTTTAACACTGAACATTGTATACAATTTTGTGACGGTATTTCTCCATGTCAATGCAAAAAAAAAAAAGTATGCTTTCTACTTGAGGGATATGTAATACGTGTTTCTACCTTGTTCAGAATCCTAGGAAACACAGAGAGATTGTATTTATATCTTCACTGGAGTTTGTATTGGGGAAATTGTGAAATTCCTTCTTGCAGTTTAAATCCCTTTCTGTACTCTAATATTTTTATAACAGTTTTCAACATTTTTACAGAAGATTAGGTAATTGTTCCAAAGTAAAAAAAAAAGCCCTTCAAAGCAGCCTTTCTGTCTGTCTGGCCCCCTGGGTTTGCTCAGTGTATGCAGATAAGCAACTGGAAGAAATAGTGGGAGAGTAAGTGACTATGAACAGGAATGAGGAAGGATACACAGCCTTTTCATTATCTTAGTCAAACCTCTTGCCAACCATTTTTGTTGGTATAGGTTATGCTGAGTCTAAGAATGTCACAAAAGCTTTTTATTCCCCCTTAATTTCTGTGTAGTTGCATACAAATTCTAAAGGCTTTTATATAAGAAATTAAAAAGTGGGAGTGAAATTTGAATCCAGGGCAGCTGGTAAATCTGTCCTCAGGAATGCCACAGTGCTTTGTAGGAGGGGGAAGAAATGATTCAATAACAGTGAGCAAACACATAGGAGAAAGCTGGTGAAGACACTGTGTCAGATGGACTTGTTGAGTGCATCAGCTCTTGAGACCCCAGGAGGACCGCGAGCTTCAGAGCACAATGCATCTCTAAGCTTAGAGATATGGCTCCCCACAAACAGTCTAGTTTCTGCATGCCTGGGCTCCTTCACATTGTCTCAAACTACCCTGAGAAAGGAGCACTTTAGAATATTTTGTTAACACAAACAATTGCTGTGGAGAATTTTAAGCATGTTAGGGATGGGCTGGGGAAGGAACAGTGAAAGGCAGGTCTAACCACCCATCTAACTTAGACTCCTGAGGCAATATTTTCTTTGAAGAAATCAATAACCCTCCTTCCAAAGCAAACTGTCATAACAAAAGCCCATTTGACTCCAAAGTTTCTCCTGCTGGCACTCTAGCTACTGAAAAGTGTCAGTTATGTAGAGAAAGTGATTTGGGGTATTGTTTTAATAAAATAAGAAATGTGAGACTAGCTCTTCTGTTGGCAATTCTTCAGTAAATGACATAGTTGGAAAAAATGTTGAAGGCTGCTTAGCAGAACTTAATTGGGTATATTTGACTGAAAATGGAGTCAGAGATTCAAAGCTGATGATATCATCAGATCCTGCAAAGTTTAAAACCTATGATTGTAGATCTTGTTAAAAGTT